CCACTGAGCCATCTTGCCAGCCCCTTTCTAGGTTTCTAATTTCTAATAGTCAGAAATCTAGGAGGATCATGAAGTGCTGGTCAACCCCTCTGCTAGCCTAGAATCTCCCTTTGTACCTCAGAGATGAAAGGCCCTGACATCTCTCTCTTCAGAGCTGTCCCTGGGTATTGCCTTTCACATAATATCTGTCCTGCCTTTATACTGTGCTAGGTTTCCCTGCCCTTGATCTCAAATACTACTGCTTTGACTATTGCAAACTTCTGCACAAAGCTCTTCTCTAGACCCTGGCCCACACTAAACAAATCCAGCCTTTCCTTGGAATTTCAAGTGAAGCCTGAAGCCATAATCCTGAACATAATCCTGTCCCTCCAGGGACAGGGATTGTTGTGTAGCATTTGTTTAATGATGCAAAGATGTGTTGCATTCTTTTATGTTGCATTTGTTTAACTCTGAGGCTGTGTTACTTTTCCTGCCTAAAACACCTGATTGATCTAATAAAAAGCTGAATGGTCAATAGCTAGGCAGGAGAGAGAAATAGGTGGGGCTGCCAGGCAGAGAGAATAAATAGGAGAAACCTAGGGAAGGGAGGGAGGACTGAGAAAAGGAGAAGGAGAGAAGACACCAGGGGCCAGCCACCCCAGTCAGCCATGGAGAAAGGAAAGAAAGGAAGGAAGGAAGAAAGAAAGAAAGAGAGAGGAAGGAAGAAAGAGAAAAGAAAAGAGAAAAATAAATAGAATAAAAAAAGGTAAAAAGCCTAGAGGCAAAATGTAGTTAAAGAAAAATGGAATAATTTAAGTTAGAAAATCTGACTGGAAACAAACCAAGCTAAGGCTGGGCATTCATAAGAATACGTCAAGTTGAGCAGTGGTGGTGCATGCCTTTGATGTACTTGTCTGAGTGTTTTGCCTGCAAGTATATCTCTGCTCCATGTGTGTGCTGTTCCTGAAGAAGTCACAAAAGGACATCAGATACCCTAGAACTGGAGTTAAGGATGGTTGTGGGTGCTGGGAATTGAACCTAGGTCCTCTGCAAGAGCAACTAATGCTTTTAAGCCCTGAGCAATCTCTCTAGCTCTTTTCTTTGGCTTTTTTTTTTTTTTTTTTTGATACAAGGTCTCACTACATAGCCCTGGCTAGCTTGGAACTCATTATGTATACCAGGTTGGCCTCAAATTCACAGGATTTGCCTGCCTCTGCCTCCTGTCTGTGCCCAGCTCCCCCTCACTGTGTCTGTCTGGCTGGCACAGTCTTTCCTTTGTTTTCTTTTATCTCTTGCTTGCTGTTGTTTTGTTTTGAGGACGAGTCTCATGTAGCCCAGGCTAGCCTTGAACTCATCATCCTTCTGACTCAGCCTCACAAGTTTAGGAATTACAGATTTGCCCCACCATGCTCAGCATTCCCAAACTATGTTAACTTCATATCAGCGTCCTCCTCTTTCTGCCTCAATTGCTTTAACCTGTTCATCTCAAATGTTTATCCTCTGTCCTTAGCCTCATGCTGTTCCTTTCCATTCTTTGCAGCTCCCTTCCACTCCTGAGTCTGGATCAATCCTTCAAGCACAATCTAAGGGCTAAACAGATGCTCTATTGAGTTTTGGTCCATTTAGTTCCTTAAGTGCAAGCAGCCAGCCCGCCTCAGGCATTAGCCTAAAGATCTTCCTTGGGACTAACCCCAAGGCACGGGATCTGAAAACAACACTGATGAAACTTGTTATAGACTGGTCCCCAAAGGTCTCTGTGTTAAAAGCTTAGAAGCTTAGTTTCCAACATGGGATTCTGGGAAGTGGTTGGACCCACTGGGAAGTGTTCCATACATTGAAAGCACACCCTCAAAAGGGAGAGAGGGGCTGGAGAGATGGCTCAGAGTTAAGATCACTAACTGTTCTTCCAGAGGACTGGGGTTTGATTTCAAGTGCCCACATGGTGGCTCACAACCATCTGTAACTCCAGTCCTAGGGACCTGAAACCTTCTTCTGGTCTTCATGGGCTTTGCATACACATAGCACACAGATATACATGCAGGTAAAACACTCATACACGTGACTATAAGTAAATGAATGAACAAATAATAAATACTGATGTGGGAGTCCCCTTTGTATACTGTGATTACCATTAATGAGTAAAGAAACTGGCTTGGCCTATAGCAAGATAGAAGGAGGATGGAGTCAAAGAGAAGCCATGTAGCCCCGTCAGGGACGCCAGAACTTATAGACAGTAAACCATAGCCACGTGGAGATACACAGATTAATAGAAATGGGTTAAATTAAGATGTAAGAGTTAGCCAATAAGAAGCTAGAGCTAATGGGCCAAGCAGTGATTTAATTAATACAGTTTTTGTGTTATTATTCCTGGGCTGAGCAGCCGGGAATAACCAAGCAGTCTCACTCCACCAAAATACAATTTAAATTTTAAGAATTACTTTCTAAGAGGGAAAGAGAAGTTCCAGACCCTTCCTCAGTTTTGCAACCAACTGTATGGTCAGTGGTTTCGTCCTACTACATGCTCCTGTGTTGTTCTTCCAGTGGTTACCTGCTGGCTATAAGACTTCCTACAGCACTCCCACCATAGGTCACAAAGCAATGGGTCAATCAATGAAGGGTCAAAAGCTCTGAAACAGTGGACCTAGATAACCCTTTCATTCTTCCAAATTCACTATCAAGTATTTGTTACAATGATGGGAAGCTGAGTGCCAGAATTCCAAAGGAACAGCCCTGCTGCAGTGCAGCTCAGGCTCTGCAGGCCCCTTCTTCCCAGTAAGTTCTTTAGGAATTCCTTTTGGTTTTCTTTTTCTTTCATTTGGTACTCAGTAGTAAACCCAAGGCCTAGCACATTCTAGGTACATGTTTTACCACTGAACTCTATCCTTAGCCATCTTCTAAGACATTTTTACTTATTATTATATGTGCACGATCAAGGCAGCACACATGCCATAGCATGTTTATGGAGGTCAGAGGACAACTTTGTGGACTCAGCTCTCTTCTTCTACCTTTACCTAGGTTCTGGGGATCAAACTCAGGTCATCAGACCCTTGCTGCACTACCCCCACTCACCCTATTTTTAGTATGTGTTTAGTTATTTGCTTGTTTGTTTTGTTTGTTTCTGAGACAGAGTTTCCCTGTGTAGCCCTGGTTATCCAGACTGGTTCCAAACTCCCAGAGATCCTCTTGCCCCTGCCTCCAGAGTGCTCGGATTAAAGGCATTCACTACTATGCCTTTCTTAATATTTTATTTTGAGACAGGTGCTCTCTCACTAAGTTGCCAGGCTATGCTTAGCCTCTTGAGGAGCTAGGTTTATAAGCCTGTGCTTCCATGACCAACATGAGAAAATAGCCAAAGATCATCAGATTTCTGAGGAAAGCCTCTATCCTGGCCACATGAAAGAGAAAATACAGTTAGATACATACTCTTTTCTAAGCCAAGCATGAGAGCTCACATCTCTAATCCTAGATGCTTGGGGGTTCAGGCAGGTACATAATTGTAAATTTGAGGGCATCTATATTTTATACATTGCATGCCAGGATTATATATTGAGTACCAGGCTAGCCAGAGTTATACAGCAAGATCCTCAAAAATAAGCAAATGAAAAGGAAACAAAACACACCACAAACTGATTTCTGTCTTACTTAGGGTTACTATTGCAGTGATGAAACACCACGACCAAAAGCATTTTGGAAAAGAAAGGGTTTATTTGGTTTATTTATTCAGAGTTATAGTTCACTGAGGGAAGCCAAGGCAGGAACTCAAATCTGAGAGAGCCTGGAAGCAGAAGTGCTACTTCCTGAGTTGCTCACATCATAGCTTGCTCAGCCTGCTTTGTTAATGGACCCAGGACCACCAGCCTAGGGGTGACCCAACCAAATGGGATGTGCCTTTCCCCATTGTGGAGGTCCCAATAAATGCTATGGCAGGCAGAGGAATTATCTGCATGAGGCAAGAAGGAAATCCTGTTCAATATGACTTAGTTCAGGTTGGTTCAAACTTCCAGAATCTAGCTGGGTCTGGTGGTGCATGCCTTTAATCCCAGCATTTGAGGGGCAGAGACAAGCGGTCTACAGACTGAGTCTACAGACTGAGTTCCAGGATAGCCAGGACTGTTACACAGAGAGTCTGACCCTGAGCAGTTAATTTTTTACATATTTAAGTATAGTACAACTTTGGAAAAAAGTTTCCTAGTGACAATTATCACAATAAAGCTTAAGGCAGGACTACATTGAAACTGCATTGCAAAGTACATGTCTTTTGTAAAGTACTGGTGACCTTTTCCATAAAAATGGGTTCTATTGACTGAGAAGCAATGCTCAGGATAAGGGGTTAAGAGAGGAAGGGTCAGACCCTCCTCAGCTGCCAATCCCAACCTGCAGGTCCCTTTCTTTCTCTCTCTCTTCCTTCCTTCTTTCCTTTCTTTCCTTCTTTTTTTAAAGGTCTTGTTGGTGTCTTTTTTTAATGGTTTATTTAACTTTATTTTATGTGCATTGGTGTGAAGGTGATCCCCTGCAACTGGATCTTCAGACAGTTGTGAGTTGCCATGTGGGTGCTGGGAATTGAACCCTGGGTCCTCTGGAAGAGGAGTCAGTGCTCTTAACCACTGAGCCATCTCTCCAGCTCCTCTCTTTCTCTTTCTTTCTTTCTTTCTTTCTTTCTTTCTTTCTTTCTTTCTTTCTTTCTTTCTTTCTTTCTTTCTTTCTTTTCTCTCTCTCTCTCCCTCCTTCTATCCCTCCTTCCTTTTTCTTTTATTTTTTCTTTTTTGTTTTTTTGACACAGAGTTTCTCTATGTAACCCTGGCTGTCCTGGAACTCATTTTGTAGACCAGGCTGGCCTCAAACTCACAGAGATCCACCTGCCTCTGCCTCCCAAGTGCTGGGATTAAAGCACCACACTGAGGCTTGAGTCCCTTTTATTCTAAACTAAGATTTTCTATGGGGTGCCTACCATCCTAGGTTGGGGGCTTCTCTTAGGTGGGTTCCACCTTTCTAACCATGCCCTCTGAAATCTTAATCTGTAGTTGAGAGGAGACACAGGTTCAACATCAATGACCGCATCAACAAGCTGGGAATGCTGATCCCCAAGGCCAATGACCTGGACGTGAGCTGGAATAAGGGCATCATTCTCAAGGCCTCTATGGATTACATCCAGAGGATGCAAAAAGATCTGCAGAAATCCCGAGAACTGGAGAACCACTCTTGGCGCCTAGAGATGACCAACAAGCAGCTCTGGCTTCGCATCCAGGAGCTGGAGATGCAGGCGCGGGTCCACGGCCTCCCCACTACAACGCCATCCGGCGTGAACATGGCTGAGCTGGCCCAACAGGTGGTGAAGCAGAAACTACCCAGTGAAGATGGCCCACGGGAGGCTCTCATGCTGGGGCCTGAGGTCTCTGACCCTGAGCCGATGCCTGCTCTCCCTCCGCAGGCCCCACTGCCCCCAGCCACCCAGCCACAGTACCCTTTTCATCACCTGGACTTCAGTCACAGTTTGAGCTTTGGGGGTGGGGGTGATGAGGGGCCCACAGGCTACCATGATCCCCTGGGGACAGAGCATGGCTCCCCGTTCCCCAACCTGTCCAAGAAGGATCTGGACTTAATGCTCCTAGATGACTCCCTGCTACCCCTGGCCTCCGACCCCCTCTTTTCTACCATGTCCCCTGAGGCCTCCAAGGCAGGCAGCCGCTGGAGCAGCTTCAGTATGGAGGAGGGCGATGTCCTGTGATGTTGGCTGCCCCTGTGCCAAGGAGCAGGGGCTGCCTGGGGGCTGGGAGGACAGGGCAGAACCCTCCTATCCCTCAGGCTGCAGTTGGTGTGAAGTAGCCGCCTACCCTGCCTCTCCTTCCCTTTGGTCGGCCCCTGTTTGGACTTAGTGCCTGCCTGGCTGCAGATGGGCTAAGCCCTGCCGCTCGGCTCAGAGCTCCCTCCTCTGGGGGCAGTACTATGAATCGTGAGGTAGAAGAACAAGGGTGAGGTGAAACAATATGAGGAATAAGAAGAAACCCTGGTAGGGGAGCCCCTCTCTCGGAGCCTGGGCCCCTCCAAGAAGGACATTTTGGAGAAGGTATAAGAAGTACCTCTGTGGCTATGGGACAAGGCCAGTTCAGGCACCCTGTCCTCTGTTGCCCAACGACCTAACTGGGGACATCCCCTTGGACACCTGGGATCCCCTCTAGAGCCCTAAAATGGCTCCCTTAATTAAGATATCTTCTTCCCTGCTCCCATATCCACCCTTCCTCCACCTCAACCATCCCACTCCCCCAAGCTCTCCCCAATCCTCCCTTTCTCCCTTCTCTCTCCTCCTTTCCTGTACCCCCCACCCCACCTCCGTGCTCCCAACTTTTTCCCAGCAATCTTGTCTGCTTCCAATTTCCAGGAGGATCTATATATGTTTTTCTTTGGGTTCACTGGCCTTGTCCCATAGCCACACTGATGAATATCTTGAATATCACCATAGAACCTTCGTCCGGCGATGGATGGAGATAGAGACAGAGACCCACACTGGAGCACTGGACTGAGCTCCCAAGGTCCAGATGAAGAGCAGAAGGAGGGAGAACATGAGCAAGAAAGTCAGGACCGCGAGGGGTGTCCCCACCCACTGAGACAGTGTGACTGATCTAATGGGAGCTCACCAAGGCCAGCTGGACTGGGACTGAACAAGCATTTGATCAGACCGGACTCTCTGAATGTGGCTGACAATGGGGGCTGACTGAGAAGCCATTGATAAAGGCACTGGGATTTGATTCTACTGCATGTACTGACTTTTTGGGATCCTAGTCTGTTTGGATGCTCACCTTCCTAGACCTGGATGGAGGGGGGAGGGCCTTGGACTTCCCACAGGGCCGGGTACCCTGCCCTCTCTTAGGACTGGAGGGGGGAGGGTGTGTGGGGGAGTGGGAGGGAAATGAGAGGAGGGGAGGAGGTGGAAATTTTGAATGGTATTATTTATAAAAGGAAAAAATAAAATAAAAGTTTGAAAAAAAATCAATGAAAAAAAAAGAAGTACCTCTGAGGTAGCAGCTGGCCTGGGGGTGCTTAGGCCTGCCTTCCTGGGACTAGATGGCACTCAGCCTGTTCCCCAGCCTGATACTTCCCCCACAGGTGGGGCACCCACCCTCCTTTGGCGCTAACAGCTCTTCCCCTGGTGGTATGAGGGTGGGGTGGCCAGAAGAGGAGTCTGGGTTCAGGGTGGAGAGTACCCCTGTCCTCAGACCCCCCACTTCATGCCTTTAGTAAACACTGTGCCTTATATTTAAAAAAAGGGAGAGAGAGAGGAAGGGTCTTTTGATAAGGAAGCAAAAAATATCAAATGGAAAAAAGAAAGCATATATAACAAGTGGTGCTGGCATAACTGGATATCAACATGTAGAAAAATGAAAATAGACCCATATCTATCACCATGCACAAAACTCAAGTCCAAATGGATCAAAGACCTCAACATAAAGCCAGCCACACTGAACCTTATAGAAGAGAAAGTGGGAAGTACACTTGAACGCATTGGCACAGGGAACCACTTCCTAAATATAACTTAAGCAGTACTGACACTGAGAGAAACAATTAATAAATGGGACCTCCAGAAACTGAAAAGCTTCTGTAAAGCAAAGGACACGGCCAACAAGACAAAACAGCCTACAGAATGGGAAAAGATCTTCACCAACCCCGCATCAGACAGAAGTCTGATCTCCAAAATATACAAAATATTCAAGAAATTGGACACCAAAAGAACACATAATCCAATAAAAAAAATGAAGTAAAGACCTAAACAGAGAACTCTCAACAGAAGAATCTAAAATGGCTGAAAGACACTTAAGGAGATGTTCAACATCCTTAGTCATCAGAGAAATGCAAATCAAAACAACTCTGAGATTCCATCTTATACCTGAAAGAATGGCCAAGATCAAAAACACGGATGACAACTTATGCTGGAGAGGTTGTGGGGTAAAGGGAACACTTCTGCATTGCTGGTGGAAATTCAAGCTGGTACAACGTCTTTGGATGTCAGTGTGGCGATTTCTCAGACAATTAGGAAACAACCTTCCTCAAGACCCAGTAATATCACTTTTGGGTATATATCCAAAGGATGCACAATCGTGCCACAAGGACATGTGCTCAACTATGTTCACACAGCATTGTTTGTCATAGACAGAACCTGGAAACAACCTAAATGCCCCTCGACCGAAGAATGGATGAGGAAAATTGGTACATTTACACAATGGAGTACTACACAGCAGAAAAAATAACGACATCTTGAATTTTGCGGGGAAATGGATGGAGCTAGAAAACATTATTTTGAGTGAGGTAACCCAGACACAGAAAGCCAATTATCACATGTACTCACTCATAGGTGGTTTTTAAACATAAGGCAAAGAAAACCAGCCTACAAACCACAACCCCAGAGAACTTAGACAACAATGAGGACTATAAGAGAGACTTACACAGATCTAATCTACATGGGAAGTAAAAAAAAGACAAGATCTCCTGAGTAAATAGGGAGCATGGGGACCTTGGGGGAGGGGAGAGACAGGGAGGGGAGCAGAGAAATATGTAGAGCTCAATAAATATCAATAAAAAAACCCAAAAAATAAAAATAAAAAAGATAGAGAGAGAGGAAGGGCCTAGAGATGGCCTAGTAGTTAAGAGTATTGACTGCTCTTCCAGAGGACTTGGGTTCAATTCCCCGTAACCACATGGCAGCTAACAACTGTCTATAACTCCAGTTTCAGGGGATCCAACATCCATGGCAAAACATCAATATATAAAATAAGAATAAATTAATTTTAAAAAGAGAGAGAAAGGGTCTGGAATAAGCATAATAGTAGACTCTTTTGCAAAGTATATGGGATCTCTTTCCTTCTTTCTTTTTTTAGGTCCTGGAACTCACTCTGTAGACCAAGCTGGCCTCAAACTCACAGAGATTCACCTGCCTCTGCCTCCCCAATGCTGGGATTAAAGGCGTGTGCCACCACTGCCCAGTTGGAACCTCTTTCTTAAGAATAGGTTCTGTTGGGCTGGAGAGATGGCTCAGAGGTTAAGAGCCTCTTCCAAAGGTCCAGAGTTCAATTCCCAGCAACTACATGGTGGTCACAACCATCTGTAATGAGATCTAGTGTCCTCTTCTGGCCTGCAGGCATACATGGAGGTAAAACCCTTATTTACATAATAAATAAATCTTAAAAAAAGAACAGGTTCTATTGACTGAAAAACAATGCTCACAAGTCTGGGATAAATATAATGTCTCGGGGATTTGAATGAGGCCTGGCTCTATAGATTGCAAAAGATCGCTAGATTATTAACTACATCTAATCACAGAAAAGAAGTGTAAATCCCTTTTATTAAAGAGAAAAGCCTGCTAGTTTAACAGTTTTGGTTTCCTTACTGCTGTCTGTGAGCATGAGGACCTTGTTCCCTCAACGCTCCCATGAATCACTAATTAAGAAAATGCCCTACAGGTCGGCTTACAGAGGCATTTTCACAATTGAGGCTCCTTCCTCTCAGATAACTTGGGCATGTGCCAAACTGACATAAAATTAGCCAGCATATAGTTTTTAAATTGTGTCTGGTACTATAGGTAGGCCTATAATCCCAGCATTTGGGTAGCTAAAACAGAAGGATGACTAAGAGTTTAAGGTCAGCCTGGTCTACATTAAAAAATTCAAGGCCACCGTGAGACTTTGTCTTAAAATAAAACAAAACAAAACACGAAGCTGGGCAGTGGTGGCACATGCCTTTAATCTCAGCACTCAGGAGGCAGAGGCTGGCAGATCTCTGTGAGTTCGAGGCCAACCTTATCTACAGAGTGATTTCTAGGACAGCCAGAGAAACCCTGTCTCAAAAACAAGCAAATAAACAAAAAGAACAAAAGAAAATAAAAACCTGGACAAATATGTCCTAGTGTGGTGGCACATGTTTGTAATCCTAGCACTTGAAGTATGGTGATTTGAATGAGAACAGCCTCCATAGGATGATATATTTGAATGTTTGGTTGCCAGTTGGAGACTGTCTGGGAAGGATTAGGAAATGTGGCCTTGTTGAAGGAGATGTGTCTCTAGTGACAGGCTTTGAGGTTTCAAAAGACTTATGGGATTCCCAGTATGCTCTCTGCCTCCTGCTTACAGATCAAGATGTGAGCTGTTAGCTGTTGCTCTAACTACATACCTATGTGACCTTGCTCGGCCATCATAAATTCTATCCCTCTGGAGCCATAAACCCAATTATACTCTCTTTCTTTTAGAAATTTCCATTGTCATAGCGTTTTATCACAGCAATAGAAAAGTAACTAAGACATGAAGGCAAGAGGATAAGGTGTTTAAGGCTAGCCTCTGCTACTTAGCAAATCTGAGTCTAGTATGATATCCCTGTTTCTTCTCAATTGCTGTCACAAGACACCATGACCACAGCAGCTTATAGAAGAAAGTGTTTAATGGGGGCTTACAGTTTCAGAGGGCAGGCTCATGACCATCATGGCAGGGAGGATGGCAGTAGGTAGACAGGTAGGCATAGCCCTAAAGCGGTAACTGAGAACTTACATCTGATCCACGGGCACAAGACAGAGAAAGAGAGGCAGAGAAAAAGGCTAACTAGAAAATGGCATGGACTTTTGAAATCTCAAAACCCATCCACAGTGGTACTGCTCCCCCAACAAGGCCAAACCTCCTAATCTTTCCCAAACAATTCTACACACTAGGGACCAAGCATTCAAATATATGAGCCTATGGGGCCAATCTC